CTCTCTCTCTCTCTCTCTCAATAATAATAATAATACTAATAATAAATGTTTGCAAATAAATATATTAGATTATAAAAATTAATATAAATTTCTTATTAAACACCATGCCAGAATATTGACATTTTTAATTAACTCTATGTTTTTATACACATTGGAAGAGTTTTGCCAAAAATTTGACTTAAAATGCAAGTTATATTTTGTATACTAATGTGGCAAATGTTGCCATCTATAAACACAGAATCGTGGTCCATACTATTCTATTTTAATTGTAAATCTCACGGCATTATAATTAATTACATATAATGTTAAAAGTCCAAATTTATACATTTTACAATTTACAAAACTATTAATGTATGTTTTCTTGCACAGTATATTTAGCTTTCATCAAATCTGTGATTAATTAATATTAAATTTTAAATATTAATTTATAATCATATATTATATTTTTAGCAATTCATATGAATTCTGGTTTTAAAAGTTTTTATTCTAATAAATTAAACTAAAAATTATACTAGATTTTTTTATATTATCATTATGTGCTTTTATTATACCTGATTAACGATCCGTATATGTTTATATAACATCACTTATGAATAGAATTTACATAATAAACATACACTGTGTATCCACTTTATAATTAACTAGTGTTGCTAATAAACGAGTAAATTATTATATTGTTTTTGCAACCAATTATTTGATTTTATATTAAATTTAGTATTTATTTTACAATGAAATGCTATAACTTTACTGTATTTTGAAATCTACAAAAAGTTTACTGTTTATTTGTTATATGCAATATATTCACTATGTTATCAAACCGATCAATCATGGGCATTTTGGAGTTTTAAAATATTCATTTGTGAAATTTGATATACAGTACTTTGATTTTGCAGATAATCATATAAGTCATACATTTTCTATCAAGTTGTCCCCATACTGTCAATATTATATTTGATTTTAATAAAATACTATTTTTAACTATAATTTATTTAAGAAGAATGTTGTTTATAGATTCGTTCGCTTTTACTCCTTTTTACGATCAAAACTAGATTAAAATAATAGAAACAAGATTTAAAATAATAACACAAAAGCACCACGGTGAAATTAAATTAAAGATTTATTGTGTCTTTAAAATAATAATAATAATCATAAACCATCGCAAAGAATCAACAGAATATTCATTCATATATCCATATAATTCCGTAAAACGATATTATTTTACATATTTTTATAATAATAATAATAATAAAATGAAATAATAATTAATTCGTAATATTAATATATAATAGTAATTTATTGGTCGAAAACTTACCTTTTTTGTTTAGTATATTATTATTGGTATTAATTTGTTAGTATTAGTATAGCCACAAATACATAATTCCACAAAACATAATAATAATCATATATTGTTTATAACATGTTATATTGGATAATAGGCGGGTGTGTGGTGTATGTTGTGGGGTAGGGGGTAGAGTTGGGTAACCAAGGGTGCGCCCATTTAATTGTTAACGCCACGGGGCTTGTTGTCGAACTCGCACGATCGGTTACCGAGATGCTCGCCGATGTCCATGGAGAGGGCGCCGGCGCCGCCGCAGGGTAGAGTTGGGTAACCAAGGGTGCGCCCATTTAGTTGTTAACGCCACGGGGTTTGTTGTCGAACTCGCACGATCGGTTACCGAGATGCTCGCCGATGTCCATGGAGAGGGCGCCGGCGCCGCCGCCAAAACCGTATCCCTTGGGGCCAAACTTGCGGGCGTAGCACTGTTTGCAGTACAGGGCCTGATCATGGGCGTTCACGTTGACCGAGTCCAGGCGCTTGTTGCACAGGTTGCACTTGAAACAAATCTTGTGCCACTTGAGACCGCCGGCCAGCATCTCCTCCGCCGCGTAGACCGCGCGGTTGCACTTCAGACAGATGTTTGACATTATTATTATGTAGATTGAAATTTACAGAATATTCTGTAATGTATATATGAATGACACGATAATAACAACAACACTGTGTGTTTAGGGCACTGGTATGGAGAGCACGGATACTACGCTCGGTGTGACACTCGGTCTCTTAAGCGGTGCTCCTTTTGGTTCGGTTATGCACACGACACACACCACCAGTGCCTCAACACTACCAGTGCTTTCGTTGCCGTTCCCCCTCTCCATACCCGTCCCAATCGGGCTCAACACTACATATATGGCCATACGTGACATTACATACATACTAAACATATACAGTATTTACAGTATATATGATGTATGTTTATCATCTCTCTCTCTCTCTCTCTCTCTCTCTCTCTCTCTGTTACAACATTTGTATGCAATTCCCTTGACTGAGTGCGCCCTCCCATTCCGCCCACGAATTCAGATAAATAGTATTGAAATAGTTTTTAAATACTTTGGAAATTAAGTAATTATTTTTGTGTCTTATAATTAGATCTATCTATTTTGCTCTCTGTTTGTCTCTTTGATTCTCTCTCAAAAGTTACAGAATATTCTGGAATAATAATGAGGGAAAATATACTTTATAAAATTAATTGTGCAAATAATGCAAATTTTATTATGATAATTTAATATTAATTTTTATCGTAACGAATTGCAAACAGTTATTTCAAATAGTTATTAATATGCAGTTGAAATGTTTCGCTATATTTATAATGTTCATTTTATCTCATGATTGAAACGTTATCTTTACACTAATCTTTCATTGAGTCTCTCTCTCTCTCTCTCTCTCTCTCTAACGAATTCAGATAAATAGTATTGAAATAGTTTTTAAATACTTTGGAAATTAAGTAATTATTTTTGTGTCTTATAATTAGATCTATCTATTTTGCTCTCTCTCTCTCTCTCTCTCTCACCATTCTTGCATAACAATTGTACTTTAATGAGAGTACATTATAGGGTATTAAATATAGACACAGAGATATGCAACTTCATTATAGTTAACTTTATTTTTTTTGTTATAAAAAAATAATTGCTTTGATATTTACGGATTAATTAACTAATGAATTTGAGCCAATGATTCTCTCTCTCTCTCTCTCTCTCTCTCTCTCTCTCTTACTTTCAAACCCATAATTACCCCAAAAATAGCTCATATTTTTTGCGATAAAAATAAAATAACTGATACCTAATCGCAGTCAACCAATACTAGTAGAAAATCTATGTAAAACTACTCGTGCAGTCAATACATGTTGCCAACATAAACCACCATAATTCAAACTCTGTGAGAATATACATGCATATTGTATTTATAATTGAGCCAGTTTGTTTTTTGTTTTCTACACATTTTAAACATATTTCATTTATTACAATAAAATCAAATGGTGTTGTTGTTTGTCATAACAAACTATTTTCATATGTATTTTTATCATGTGTTTTATTTTGAATGTCTTATGGTTGTCGTCACCAAAATCAATGAGAGAGACAGTTAAGGGAGAGAGAGAGAGAGAGAGAGAGAGACTTAGATTAACAGTAAAACTTTCCCATTAAACGTTTGTCAGTAACGGGGGCGGAAACACAGGTTGTTGATAATTACCTTGCTCATACGATTTTTATGAACACAAAATGCATATAATTTGCCACATATGATGACATTATCAACACTAATTACTCAACATTTAACTAAAATTTAACGAGTTCGTTTAGTAATGTATTATCCTCTTTATCATGCAATCAATGAATGATATAAGAAAAAAAACATTTGATTAAAATTCATTTCTCAGCTTTTATTTTATTAAATCAAATATTTTGAGACACTTCACACTTTTTTTAATATACTTTAAACTTCAAATAAGAGTTTACACTATGGAGTAGTGGACAGTATTTTTCGTATATAAATTACACTATAGTAACAACATTTCAAAAAACAATTGAAATTATAAAGAAATATTATTAACTAAAAAATATTATTAGAAATATATTAACGAATAAAACAATCGGATTAAAGTTTGAAAACTATAATAAAGAGAAAATAGCATTAAATCTATATATAGTGTCAATCACTCAAACAATTTGTGAATTTAAACTTATTTTTGTGTGAAATTATAAATATTTTTTAAATAATATGTTATGAAAATACAGAATCATACCATAAGTATTTTAAAGTGTGTATAACTTTATAACTGTGTAATACTGTATTAATATTAATTAAACAAAAAAGCATAGAAAGTATTAGCTATAAAATAAAAAGTTTAAACTAAAACAATCATACAATACAAAACTTATTTAGTAACTGGAAAATTAATTAATAATTAAAATTTTAAATAAGTTCAACTGAACAGCATTTGGGACAATTAGCGATGTGATTATTCACAGATTCACCCAGATCGTTGTCCCGCTCTTCAAACATTCTTATTATACAAATGTCACGGATTTGTCTCAATTGAGACAATGATACCAATGACTCGGCGCTGATCTTCGCATATCTAACGGCCAAATACTGAAGATGTGGTAAATTGTGTCCAATATTGGCAAACAATGTGTCCGTAAAATACAGTTCGCAATCGTTTTCCAATAATCTTAAATGAGTTAACTGTTTCAATGGCGCCAATGAATGGCTGGTTATCGCGATTTCTGTGACCTCAAATCCCGATAAATACAGTCTCTTTAATGCCTTAAAGTGTTTAGTAATCGTATAAATCATTTCTGGTATCCTTTCATTGACTTTAATATCAAGACTCTTCAGACGCCGACAATTAATACCAATTTGTTTCAATAATGGACTCAACTCTTGGGCTGAAATATAACTTAAGTTGAGTTTCAGCTGAACTAAGGCCCGCATTCGTGGCAACCAAACCATCAGTTGACTGAGCGCTTCGGGCAATTCGTCGCCTTCCATCCAACTCCCCTTCACAACAATTGTCTTCATTTGATGTCCATATCTATCCGCAAACACATCCAATGTATGCGCATTGAAATCCGGGTTATTATACAAACGCAACACAATATGATTGAGTCGTCTGAACGACACTCGGCTTTCGGTCACCGTTTGTAATATTAGTAATGGTGTGACTTTGGAATCGGCATCAAATGACTGCAAATTCACACACATTTCTACACATTTTTTAATTAACTTTTTGTCCATAGATTTGCCAAGTGCTATATAAACTAGTGTTAATTGTGGACCAAATTTAGTAAACAATTTGTCCATTGCTTCCGGAGTACTACTCCAGAAGTGGATATCAATACGAGTCAATTGAGGGCAATATTTGATCACTAGATCGATGGCTATCTCTTCCGGACACCACTCATATGGAAAATAAATGTGCGAAATATTTGTACACTTCTTGAGTATTGTCTCGAATGTACGCCAATTGTCTTCATTTGGAAACTGGGATCCATTTATCGCCGTTTGTCTCCTGAAGACCACTCTTTGCCACTGTTTGGAAATGCATTCAAATCTGAATCTGTCTTTGAGTGTCAGATAAGACAACACTTCTTCGAGATAGTCATCACAGAATCGGTCCAAAGACTCTTTGGCATACATTTCGCACATTTTAATCAGATTTCTTATGGCCTATTCCACTAGTGTTTTGTCATGCGCGAATTTTAATACTGTTTATACTACACTACTACTGGGGGTTACATTGGGGGTTAAATTCTGCCCCCAATTTTAGGGGAAAGGAGT